AAAAAAAAAAAAAAAAAAAAAAAAAAAAAAAACATTCCCCAGCGACAAAAACATGTGCAGTTCACAAAAGGCGCTGCTAGAAGGTGAGAGTTTTTTTAAAGATGCGTAAAGCGCTGTTAATGTGAGGCTGCTAAATGGTTAATCGGGAAAAATGGCCATGACGTAACAAAAGGGAGCGGGGAAAAAACCTAGCGCTAAAAGCCTAAATGGAGGGAACTTGCCCTTGTTTCGTCGCCAATCACAGCCGATGCAAATTATTTATCCTGGACGTAGATCAATTTGTTTATCTTTGAATTTAGGACAATCATTGTCATGGTTAATTTTTCGAGTGAAAAAAAAATATTTTGGCATTCCGAGGTGATATCCTTTATGTACACGTTTTTAGACTCCACCTTTATGTACTGTGACGACAATTTACTCTCCGGGACGAATTCCACAATTTTCATGATGTGTGAGCAGGCGACCTTCAGGAAGCTCGACGCTCTTTCCTGCGAGGTGAGGGTGGGGAAGAAGTGGATACAAAAGTGGGGCCATAAGTGGCAAATAAATTGGTTTAGGGTTGCACACATGGGAAAAAAGTATGCGCCTGTCCCATTAAGCGATCAACGTATGTCTATTAGTTCGTAACATTTTTTTTTTTTTTTTTTCTACTCTCGCATAGCGTATATGTGCACACACACATGTGTACGTTTTGTCTGCTTCTTCAATGGCGTTGCCACGGTATCTCTAAGTTAATATATAGGACCCCCCATAGGAAGCCCATTCTGTGCATACTAACACACACTCATTTGGGGGAAGGTAATTTTACGATCGCTTGGCTGCCAAAGTGGAAAACTTACCAGAGAATTATTTGTTGACAGAATTTCATTTGTGAGTGTTTTATAAGAAGGAATAAAATGGCCATCTTTGTCATGGGTCCCATATTCTAATAAATTTTCTTTATTAATTTTTTTTTCTACTGGTACGGATTCATTTTTGGGGGGAGTATTATTTTGGCTATTATTTTGCTCATTACTTTGGTAATTTTTTTGCTCATTTTTTTGCTCACTTGCGTTGTTTTCTTCATTCTTCTTTTCGTTTACACTGGTATTCTCTTCGTTTTTTTTTTCATTTGCATTGGTATTATCTTCACTCTTCTTTTCATTACCGTTGCTTTTTTCTTCGCCTTCCTTTTCCTTCTTGGCGTTGTTTCCGTCGCTTTCGTTGGCAGCCTTCTCGTCGTTCCCTGTCTGCAAGGAGAGGAAGCTGTAGTTGTCCACGTCGTCACTGTTCAATTTATTTTCTCGCATTGCGTTTCCATTTCGCTTTCTTTTAGAGTTTACGAATTTTGATGCCCTTGTATTTTCGGCCCATATTTTGAATGAGCAGATTAGGAAAAGTAAAAGCAGTTTTTTCATCATCCTGGTGGGGGGGGGGGGATCTCTGCGCTTAGGGGGTGTGGTGAGATATCTGTGTGAGGGTCAGGTAGCGGGCGCGCAGGTCGGGAGAACATATAATATGCCTACGCGTGCAATCGTGTAATGGTGCAATCGTGGACGTGTGGAAGCGTGAGTCCACTTGTCTGTTGTGCTGTCCGTTTCCTGCCCAGTCGTCCTCACCACTTAACCCGCGCGACCGAGTGTCAGTCCCGTTGGGTAATTTCAAGGGGGTACGCTTTGCGTTCGCGTTGTATGTCTATTTGCCTCTTTTGCTTAGCTGTTTGCACTGCATCAATTTCTTGTGCAAATATATTTTTTTTTTATGTAGAACTTTTTGCGATTTACTGTTTTTCTTTTTTTTTTTTTTTCGAGAAATTTACATTTTAACGAATGCTTTTTTTTT